TTTGTGTGTGTGTGTGTGTGTGTGTGTGTGTGTGTGTGTGTGTGTGTGTGTGTGTGTGTGTGCGCGTGTGTTTGTTGTTGTTTTTTTGGTAAGTGTTTTACTCAGACTGCGATCAAAACAGCACCAGGTCATAATAATATGAATGCGCGGAAACACATTAAACATTTTCAGTTAGTGGGAAATTTTGAATTTTGCTCCGAAATTTTTCGCCCTAGTCCAAAAAGGCTAGGTGTACCGTAGATCTTACCTACCATAAGATTAGGGGTGCGGCTGAAAGACAGCAGTAAGAAGGAGCCAAGGAGTAGCAGTAGAAAGGCTGCAGAAAGAGTCAGGAGCCCAGAGGTGGGGGCAAATGAGATGAGGGGGTGGGGGCAGAAAGTGAAGACGAAAACAGACGACAGAACATTGTTAGAGAGCAGGAAAGGATGTGAAAGGAGACAATTTTAGAGAAAAAAATTCTCTGTCGTTTGTGTTTTCACCACCTTCCCCCCCTCCCTTCCATACGCCCCCACCCCCTAAAAAAAATGATACAATTTAGATCCTTTAGAAAGCAGGCTTCGACCCTGCCTGTCAGGACCAACCCCGGGTTTAAAGAGATACAACATCCCATCAGAAAGCACGGTGATACTCAATAAAAATTCTCCCCACAAACGAATCGAACCCAAGTCTTCTACTTGCGACGATGAAGGAAACGCCTAACATCAACACCGAAAACGCCGCTCACTTTTTATTTTATATTATTTGGGGGGGGGGGGGGTACGTGTTTTACGGCGCTCGCATCTGCATAAGGTCATATAAGCCTCTCAGAATCATCCACTCACGCACAAATGAAACAGGAGACGAGGGAGAAAAAAAGCCCCAAAAAACTCAAAGCCTTCAATCTCAAATAATATAAGATGAAGAAACGTGTAGGAACACCATATTAATGAGAAAAAGTCTGAGAGACTGAGAAGCTGAATGGAACCAAGGATTAGAAATAGATACAAATCTGGCTGGAGTGAAGGAAGCCCCCCCCCCTCTGCTTTTGTCGCGCCCCGCCCCACGAGCAAACTCCGCGCGCCCAGGGCTCAAATATCGCGACCTGCATCCGGGCCCCGTGGTCGTGGAGAATGCGTATATTAATGATGATAATAACCGGCAATTTCCCGAGCAAATAATGGCGGCTCACACCCTGTCACGGGTGGACAATGCGCCGGCCGAGTCGCAGCCGTTCTGACCAGCCCGTGTGGACAAAAGAAAACAGATGAAAATCTCGAGCTTAGTGTCTGTCTGCGGACTCGCTCTTGGCAGGGCCGCGCCGACCAATCAAAACTGGTTAAATTTGTTTACAGGCTGATCGGAAGATCAAGACGTCCGCCATATTGTCGGGTCGGAGTGAGACGTGAGTGCGGACATGGCAGAAACTGTTTGTTGCGGTGACACTCAATCTGTGCTCTGGAGTGGTTTGCTCCTTTTTTTTTGTTGTCCTATCAAATATCTAACGTTCTTATCCCTCGTCCTTCTTTTCTTTGTAAGTTACTCTCAATTGTGTTGCAAATGCCGTAAAACTCTTTTTGTTGAATGACGCTGAAACAATGCTCTAGTGTGGTTTTCTCCTTCTTTCCTATCAAACGTCTGTTGTTTTCATCTTTCCTCTTTTTCTTTGTATGTTACTCTCTAGTGACAACCCCTAGTCTTTGGCACTTATATGACCTGATTGTGTTTCAAAGGCCGTAAAACCATTCTTAGAACGACGCTCAATCTATGATCTGGAGTGGTACTCTCCTTCTTTCCTTTCAAATATCTATCGTTCTCATCTCTCCTTCTCCTTTTCTTTGTATAGCAAGTTACTCTCTAGTACTAGTAACATCTCTAATCTCCGGCACTTTTAAGACCTAACTGTGTTGCAAGTACCGTACAACTCTCACTAGAACGGCACTTAAACTGTGGTCCAGGCACAGTGTCTTCCAGGCCATGGAGCTGTATCCACACTACGCCCAGTTCACGCAGGCACTTTGGGAGTGGAGTTGAAGACAGAGATCAACTAGCTGTACCATGACGGCCATAGTTCGCCAAGAATTTCTACACCACGTTCAGGCAGCCCACGAACAAAATTTGTTTATAGTTTTAGCAAGGGTTTTACGGCACTTACAACAAAAATAGGTCATATAAGTATAAGTGCCGAGGATAAGAGGTGTTACCAGAGAGTAACTTGCACATTTATAAAAGAAGGGGGAGGGATAAGGATGACAGAAAATCTATACTCAACATGAAAAGGACACAATTTCCATCCCAAACAATTTCTAATCCGAAATTTGACAATAAAACGGAATATAGATGTTTGATACCAAAGTGGGAGCAAACTACACCAAAGCACATGTCATACACCCACTCTTAGTTCGCCGAGAAAGACTGAGACAGTCTAAGACAATCTACAATAGTAGCACGGAGAAGTTAGGACAGACTTGACCAGCATACTCATATAATACATGTATATAATATTAAAAGTCACTTGAGAGACAGAAGAGACCGTACTGTGGGTTGTTGGAGGGTGCTACTGGTAGGTCCTACTTCTTTACTTTCCCTCTGTTGTTTCTGTCTGTTGCACTAGCAACACAAATAGATTATATAAGAGCCGAAGATTAGAGGTGTTACAGGTGAGTAACAAACAAAGAAAAGAAGGAGGAGAAATAAGGATGACAGAATATGTTTGATAGAATAGGAAAGAAGGAACGAACCGCAGTAGAACACCCGCCAACCATTCGCCCCCAAAAGTTTGAAATCTTGTAAGTAAGGGGAGAAAACTCAATTATCTCCTCCAAATCATTCCTTTGGTTGTTACCTACCCTATCCACAACATAAAATTGAGAGGTTGACCAAACTTAGAGAAAGTGTTTTGCAGCACTTGCAACACAAATGGGTCACAGATATTGCAAAGATTTGTTTTAGTAAGAGTTTCACGGCACTTGCAACACAATAAGGTCATATAAGTGCCGAAGATTAGAGGAGTTACAAGAGTAAGTAACAAACACAAAAAAGGAGAGATAAGGACGACAGATGTTTGATAGGAAAGAAGGAGCAAACCACACCAGAGCACCCGCCAACCACCCACAATAAAACTTTCGTTTTTTTTTGGGTCCCTTGTCCATTTCTATTATTATATTGACGCCATCTGATTTGTAGAAAAATGTGCGTATGACAGTGTCCAATAGTGTATTACGTATACAGTGGGTGTCGCATTCAACGAGGTCACATTCAACGAGAAGTTGGTTCAACGAGATAATCGTTAATCCCCGATTTTTTTTTTCTCTGTATCTTTTTGTAAATGTAAATCGGCTCAAACGATGTTGCAAACAGACAGAAGTTGCTTTCAACGAGGTTGCGATAACCAAATAAAAGCAATTAGGGGCCCCAAAAGCGAATTTTTGTTCTCCTTTCTCTCCATCTCACGCGAAGCACAAGGCCCATCCTCGATTCTTAACACATTGTATTGGTAGATCTAGTGTGCCTCCTAATATGGGTCCAAAGCCAAGAGGATGGGTGAGGTTCAGCCAACGGTAGGAATGGGAGTGGGTGGATGGGAACGCTATGCAGGCTGTGCAGGGAGCATAAAACAACTGTATAACCTCCTTGGGGCTGTGGGAAACTGGATGAACTTTTGATGGGTAGGTCTAGATCGAGACCTTCATTTTTTTCAATTTTCTTCTCTACCCCTGATCAGAACATCCAAGCTCCCGCCTTCACTTTATGTAGATCTAGGCCTAGATGTGAGAGGGTATGTTTCCATACGAGAAGTGTGAAAAGTGTTCCGGTAAAAAAATACAATGCAGAAATGACCGTCAGAAAACAGCTCAAACTCGCGACACTGATGCTGTTTGAGATTTTCGTCATTAGGGGGAACAACTGTATAATTACTGGTATTGGTACATTGTGTAAATAAAGTATAATAACATGTGTCCTTTCTTTTCTTTAGCCTTAGTCACGTATAACGAGAGGTCGGATCCAACGAAAACAACAAGCCGGTCCCGGCAACCTCGTTGAAAGCGACACGCACTGCATAATTATTGTTATAACATGTAATTGTTACAGATAGATATTCAAGATAATTATAGATGTATGTCAAGCATCTGAGAGCAAATATGATTTTAGATATGATGGTGGTGATAAGTGATGATGTGGGATAGTGTTTTATGTAAATGATTATTGAGAAGACATGCTTTTGTTAGTTGAGGTTTTTAAAAAATAGGTTAGCGTTAGTCCTATCTTCCTCTGCTCTGATGAGTCACGAGGGATGTGGGCACCTGCTATCCCGTTCCCTACTGGAACCATCTTTAATGTCAACTCAAAATGGAACTTAACACACAAAGCAAAATTTTAATAAAATATTTTTTTTAATCAAAAAAATATCAAGGTAAATAATACTTGTGTTAATTGTTTAAATTAAATTCCGATTATTAGAACTATACAGGTCAAAGTTCGGGGGAAGAGAAACATTACAGTCAACCGGGCAATGGACAGACAGCGAAGGTCATGGCCTTGAGGCAATATTTATTTAGCGAAGAATTCAAGTGCCAAAAGGTCACAAAAATGACACAGCCGCTTTGACAACAAAACACGGGCATAAAGAACACCACACATAGGGAAATTTTGAATACGAGGCAGAGGTAAATTATTACTTAGATCACCAACCTAATACACAAAAATGCTTTGTTAAAATATGAAACCTACCAAGCATGAACGACATAATAACTAAATTACAGTAAAGGAGTATACAGTACACAAACGGAATTCACATGTGATTTGATGGTTCCGTTCAATCCCTTCCATGAATTAAGTTTTAAATAAGAGTCTAATTAAATTTCAAATACAGAAATTTTTTTTCCAGAGCTCAGCAGCATAAGAAAGCAAAAACAGGTCTTTTGTAAACAGGTATATTTCACTCAAAAATTAAGAGTCATACGTTAGCCCTTGTAAGTAGATACAGAAAGGCTAGGCCACATTATGAAATCAAGCCTTTTCAAACAAAAAGTACTGCAGGATTTTAGAGACAAGAAGACAAAAGAAAACTGCAACATGCAGAAAACAAATACTTTTTTCCTTTCTTTTCTAGCTTCGAAACACAAAATCCCCCAAAATTATTTGTTCTTTGGAGAAGTTCTTTTCACAACAGAGTGAAACTATTCACTTTCAAGGTCAGGATGACTATTTCATACTTATTCTCCTAGCTGTTTAGGTCCATAAAATAATTTTTAAAACTCAGTGAGCATAAACTATCAATTTTGATTCATGTTAGAAACAGAAGAACATAATGTTCACTTTGCATATAGGATACATAGGTAGAGAAAAAAATTGAATTGATAATAAACTATTCTAGCTAGGCATAGATGACAACTGTCTGACAGCTGCCATAAGAATATACTCTAAGTAAAAAAACCCACAAATACAACAAAAAAAAAAACAAAAAAAGAAGTTGAACACCATGACAGTAATCAATCCACCAACAAAGTAACTGCCATGGGCGCAGCAGAACAACTTAGACAACACCAAGCAGATTCAGAGCGAAATAGATAGTGTTAAAAAATAAACCAAAAAAGCCAATGTAAGCGATGGCTCCTCTGTTGCGCTTGCTTGGATCTGAAAAAATAATCAGAGTAAAATGAATGGAAACATTTCCAAAATATTCCAAACACAAACTCAAAGTCTGATGGCACAAGACAAAGAGCACAGAATTACAATCAATGTTTCTTTATTCTTACAATTCAGCACAACTACTGAATAGACGCTGCATTCTTTTTATCCTTTTGTTTTCCACATACATCATAGGCATCTGTTTATCTGTGCAACATCAGCCTTAAGTATTAGTTAGAGTTTCACAGCACTTGCAACACAATAAGGTCATACGAGTGCCGAAGATTAGAGGTGTTACAAAAGAGGAACAATTTTAGTTTTTAGTTTTAGTAAGGTTTATACGGCGCTCACAACTGCATAAGGTCATATGAGCGCCAAGGGGTCAGAGAAGTCCAAACGGGGAATCAGGCTTACTCTGTTCACCTCTCTAGCCTCAACAGCACAAAGTCTGCTTTGACTGTCAAGGCACCCTGGAAATAGCCAGTCACAAGAGAGTGTCAAACATACAAAAGAAGTAGAGGAAAAGTGACGATAGGATGAGGAAAGAAAAAGCAGCAGTAACCCCTCTGTTATTCCAGCACAGTACATGCATGAGCCTGACATTGAAAATCAGCCAATTTACAATTCTACTGTGCATAAGAACATGTTAATATCCCTCATTTGGGAATGGTCAAAAGACAATTCATCAGTAGCACTGCCCTGGTGGGGGAAAATATCTTTAGCATCCCCCCCCACCCACATTACAACTAAGTACCAATCCCAGTACAAACTACAGACACAAGAGAGCTCGACTAAAACACAAGAGCAACACGGAGACAGATGACTGACTCACCAAATGTATAGTACCCTTGAGCATACATAAAGCGCCCAATCAGGAACAGGATTCCAAACACAGCGCTCAGAATCTAGAGCAGTAAAAAAAAAATCAGACTTGACAATACCTGTGTGTAGATATTTTATTTGTATCAATACTCAGCCGTAAACTGACAAAATACCTTTTATTTAAAATTCACAGCAGTTTCGAGAAAAAGAGGGGGGGGGGGGGGGGGGGGGGGGTGTTGAGAAGAAATAGCACAGCAACAAAAAACAAAAAGGATGTGAAGCATCAAGCCCCGGCCCTATTTCCATTAGAAAGAAAAAAATAAAATACGGGAATCATAATTTAATATGAGCTAGCAGTGTTGTCCAAGGTCACTCCCACTAACAAAAGTTCTTTCTTGACTAAATGTAGTCAAAATATACATGAAAGTTGGTGTAACTTTTTTTGGTCAAAATACAAGCAAGAGTTTAATACTATTCTCATTCATTAAAAATTAAGAGAAAGACAAATTTACAGCAATTGAAACAAAACGCTTATATATACCTTCCACAAGCCTACGATCTTGAGAGAGGGTACAATGTATATTTTTTGGTGTAATATATCAAGACACTGAACAGGCAACAAACTGAACTGATAACAACAACAACAACAAACTGAATTGATAATAACAAGGGGCAACAAGAAACTGGACTGATAACAACTTTACAACAACAACGGGCAACAATAAAAAAAAATATATGTGCCAGACTCTATGCAAGTCACTGTATTCACCAGGCTGGCATCAAAATGAACCCTCCCCCCCCCCAACCCTAAAGGTGAGAAACCCTTACGTATTCTGGTGGGCTCTCTGCACACAGTTGAACTCGGGACTTTTGTCACTGTATAAGGCTGGGTACTGAGGAAGAGAAGCACAGCAAATTGGTTGAGGTTCTAATTCATGACTCAGCAGAAATTTTTCCTTCAAGAATTAAAACCTCATGTTATTGAAACCTTGCGTGAGGCTTACACAGGGTCTTGAGCAGTACAGGCAGTTCCTATTAATGACAGCCCTATCTTAGTTCCATCAGGCTATC